GACTGCAGGGCAGCCGAGGACCAAGAACCCGCGCTTCGATAATGCCCGAAAACAAAAAAAAAAAAAAAAAAACAAAAAAAAAAGAAAAAACACAAAAAAAAAAAAAAAAAAAAAAAAAAAAAAAAAAAAAAAAAAAAAACAAAAAAAAAAAAAAAAAAAAAAAAAAAAGAATAAAAAAAAAAAAAAAAAAAAAAAAAAAAAAAAAAAAAAAAAAAAAGAAAAAAAAAAAACGAAAAGCCAAATGCGCCACTCATAACTCCTGCCGCTAGTCGGCAAGTAGCGATCGCCAACGCCATCATGCTCAACATTGACAGCTGAACCATGAACAGACGCGCAGGCCACGCTGCAAACAACGCGCCTGGGCGCAAAGACAAACCGATCGAGACGCCCAAACCATAGCCCATAGCCAGCAGCTGGCCAGCTGGCCAGCTGGCCCGTCGCAAGCGCAAGTGCTCTTGCAGCCAGAGAAAATTCGCGCCGCCAGGTGGGCGGGAAATACGCGGCGCGGCCCCGCGCGCAGCCCAGCTGCTGGGAGTTGGGGCGCGCGACCCATTGAGCTGCTGGGATGCTGGTGGCTGGGGCGCGCGAGCCATTTGCCGAATTGCCGCAGGGCCCACGGCCCAACATCAACGGCTCATACAATGCAACTTCCGCCAGGCGAATGCGTTGATGCACCAGCGCGCAAGAACGGCAAGGTGAATCTGCATATTCAGAAAATGTTTCCCACGCCGCGGATGCCTGTAAGCATGCCGCATACGGCGACGTGGCGCTGCGCGGCGCATCGACTTGTGAACCAACACCGCGCGCGTGAAATAATGGCAGTGCAGCGCAGTATACTAGCGACTAGCGTGCTTGCGTGAGTGCCTGCCAGCGCTGATGACAAGCCTACCATTGCCAGACCTAACAACAAACCGCGCGCAACAGCGGGCGCACGCGCTGTCTTAGGCACTGGCGGGCTCGAGGGTTTCATGACAACACCTGCCGCGCGCCTTTCCGCGCATCTGCGTCGGGGCCGCAGCAAGGACAACGCGGGCAGCAAATGTTCGCCAGCGGCCAGCGCTGGCTACACGCTACAAGCTACAAGAAACAAACATGAGCGCGATAAATGTAAAGCGCTCGCTGAGACCCTACATTGCATTGTATGTACACGGCTGGTGGCGCCGTGGCAAGCCCTACAAAACCTACGCACCTACACCTACAAGGGGGCCCAGTCTAAGCCTACGCCCGACGCGTAATCGCAGCACTTAAACCTACCACCTACTACCTACTACCGAAAGTTTAAAACAACAAATGCCGAACTATCGAACTACGTGCACATCAAATTCAAGCCTCAAGCCAACACCCAAGGCACTTCCGCCCGCAACCACCAGCCGCTAAAATCCCGCCAGCCATTTGGGCGACAGGCGGTTTAACGATGTTCCTGTTTCCTCTTCCACAACCCCTTCTTCCCCTTCGGGGACGGGTTTACCCCTCCCCATACCCCCTCCCATGGACCTGGACGGGGGCCACCGCGAGGGGGTGGGGCGCGCAAGATACCCATAGATGGCTCCAAGAGGGCTCATAGATGGCCCCCAAGATGGCTCAAGACAGTGTAAGGTCGCTCAAGATGAGCTCCACCATGCTTCCAAAAGGCCTTAAGATGGGCCACAAGACACAAGACGTTTGAAGGTGCTTTTGCAGACCCCTCAGGACCTCCCCGAGAAGCCAAGACTCCAGACCTTCAACAAACGCAAGAAAATGTTATCATGCTTGCTCTCTCGCCGTTTCTCTTCCGATGCGCTTCTCAAGCCTTAAGATGGCATAAGAAAGCCCCTAGAAGAGCCCAAGAGGCCCTATGCCCTGTGACGACCCCAAGAGCGCCCAATAGCGCCCCAACAGAGGCCCAAGAACGTCCCAAGGGGCTATCTTGATTGCCCCAGAGGGGGACACCACGGGAAGACGCCATATCTTCTAACCGACACCCTCCACGACAGCCCCAAGAGGTCCTCCAGGGCTCCCAAAAAGCCCAAAAGAGAGCCACAGAAGGGCATCAAGAGGGCCCCGATGCACCCCCCCCCCCCCCGCCCGCCCAAGAATCCCAAGAAGGCCCAGAGACCTTCCAAAAGAGCTCAGAGAGGGCTCCAACATTCCAACACCCTGACCACTCTTCTCTCATTGCCCACTTTGGTTCATTATATGTGTCCCTTCTTGACATTCCCCGTCAGCTCTCATGGGCATGGCTTCTGAATATGCAGGTCGGGTTACACGTTGCACGAAACGTTAAGAATTTAACGCGCGCGCGCAACATACAGTATGCGGCGGCCGCCCGCCGCAGACACGTTTCCGCATAAGCGGGCGAGCAACGCGCACGTCGCCGACGAATTCGACGCACGAGCTGCGCAAAGTATGCGTGCATGGCGGGGGGGGTCAACCGCGCAGCCACCGCCAGAGGGATACAGAAGAGTGGCAATCGCAACGCGCGGCTGCAGGGCAGCAGAGTGGCAAGGGCGAGGCTGGCGCCGAGCCGAAAGCGCAATTCGAAAAGCGCGCGCACGCTACCGCGACCGCGCAATTCTGAAGCTCCCCGCCCACATCAGGAGCTGGAGCGTGACATGTGCTGAGGCGCTGAGGCGAAACCACCATCAATGCGAACCCGAGGGGCAGCGGAATGACCGAAAAACCGTTAGATTGTTCCTCCTCGGTGTCCTCCTCCTCCGTGTCCCCCGCCCACGACAACCCCGAGTCGTCAGTCTCCTGAGGCGGGAATGGCGCGGTGGGTGGGGGCGGCGGGGGGGAGAGGGGGAGGGGGGCGGATTTGTCTGGGGAGGGCGGGCCGCCAGCCTCTTTGAGTTCCACCGTGTCCTACCCCCTTTCCTCCTACCCATCATCCTGCAACCCCCTCTTCCCCGCCCTTGCCCTCCTCCTCGCCCCTCGCAACCACCCTCAGCATCATCACCCTCATCGGCACCCCATCTCCACGATCCCCGCCATATTCCTAGCCCCTAGCCCCTAGCCCCTAGCCCGTAGCCCCTAGCCTTCCGCGTTGCATTACCCACGCGCTTCACCAATTATCAATCCTTGCCCTGCCTCCTAGCTCCTAGCTCCTAGCTCCTATAACCTAGCATCATAGTTCCTAGTTCCTAATTCCCAATACTACTTCGCGCATCGCCCCTCCCTCACCCCTCTCCCCCAACCTGCTCGGGCCATCAACGCATCCTTATCCTCCCCCCCCCCCACCCACCCACCCTCCCCATCGCATTCCGCCCCCACCATCATGATCACTGCTCATCCGCTCCTCCCGCCGCTTCCCACAGCCTTCCCCCCTTCTACCCTACCCCACCCCATGCCCACTACACACTACACCCCACCCCACCGATTTCCCATCCCGTTACCACCGCGTCCCACCCATCACTGTTTCTCATGTTGTGGGAGGGCGCATGGGACTGGGCATGCAATGCTTGACTCGCTCGAGCTGGCTTGACGGCTTGACCCTACCCTACCCCCCGCCCCCGTATATGTCCCTCCCCTCACCCCATCCGAAACCGGAAGGATGGGGGAGGTGGGCTGGTGTAATTAAAGACCGAGCTCCTCGTCGGAGCCGTGCTGTTCCCAAGATCCGTCCGAGCTTGAATCATTCGCGCCCGAGCCCGCGCCGTCGGAGCCGACGTCTGACCCCTCGGCCTCGTCGCGCTCGTCGAAGTGTGCATCGATGCGCACGTCGTCTCCGCCGCCCATGCCGTCATCGGAGCCGACGTCCGAGCCCTCCAGCCACGGCTCATGCACGTAGCCGTCGCCTCCACCGGGCCGCGCGCCCCAGCCCCGCGCCCCGCCTCTGGCTGCGGCGCGGGCGCGGCAGGCGCGGCAGCGGCGCGCCCGCGGCGCCCTCGCCCTCTCCCGCGGGCACCACTGCGGCCGCGCGCGCGCCCGCGGCCATCGCCGTCGCCTCCACCGCGGCCGCCCCGGGGTCCAGGCCGACCCCTGCGGCGCGGCAGTGCAGGCCATACATGTCGCTGCTCCACGGGCGGGTAAAACTCTTTGAAGAGAGGCACCGCGGGCTGGAAACGAGGGCATGAACGTGTGTGCGTGGCGAGCTCCAACATGGACATGCGCCAGGTCAGGTTGAACGAAAACCGCCCAGCCATCACATGCAGGTTGCACCAATCAGTCGCTGCCTTCCGAGAGCGCAGCGGGAATGCGGCTCGGGGCCCATAGCTTAGAAAGCACCAGACATAGTAATATATATATATATATATATACGTTCCCTGCGCACTATTCTTTATCACAGTGTCGCTACCGATGGGCCCCATAAGCCAATGGTGCCTCAAGATTGCCCCAAGATCGCGAGGCCTCAGAAGGGTGTGATGCGTGCAGAGACAGCTCCAGGGGGGCCAAGGCTCCAGGTGGCAACATGCGGGCCCTAGACCCTGAACCCTAGACCCTAGACCCTAGACATTAGACATTAGACCCTAGAGCCAAGACGCCATGACCCAAGAGTGCAACAAGAGGCCACAAACATGATGTTGTGCGTTATGCCACATCCGAGCGGTGATGCGCAAACTAATGATATCCACCGTTCCAGCCTACAGCCTACAGCCTACAGGCTACAGGCCCACAGGCTACAACTTAGAAAATGGCCCGAAGCTCCCGAGGAGATCAAGGAGAGCCCCAAATGGTGGGGGTGGCAAAAGCCCGAATCTATCAAATAGTGCACAAGACCGACTACCCAAGATCCCAAGGCCCAAGATAGCACCACGGGCCAAGAGCCAAGAGCCCAGAGGCCCCCCGAAGGCCTCACTTCACCATTGTCGGCGCTATTGCTTGAACATGCTAGTGCCCGCGGCCAGCGCCGCTCCTCCAGACCCCCAGACTGCCCTCGTGGACATCGCCAATGGAATTGATGATGGGGGCAAGCTAAGCGCCAGGGGCCCCATGGAACAAGATGTGGCTCTGTAGCTCTGGGCCCCAACCACATACCCCCACGCCCCAGTTCGCACGACCCACCTTGAGTGCAATCTCATCTCCCCTTCGGTTGGCGCCAAGTGCCTCCTCATCACTGGCCACGGTCATCTCCTGCACGCGCGGCACAAATGGCGCCAAGGATTGGCTGCTGACGTGCCAATAGCGGACGTCCGTGCCGAGACCCCAGAAGTCAGCCAAAGCATCACCTGCACCGTCAGCAAGCGACGACTCGAATCGCAGGACGACGTGACCGTCCTTGAGCAGCTTCCTGCGGTTGCACCCGCTCCTCGGGCACATGGCCTTCATGGCGAGCAGCGCGGAGTTCCGAAAACGCCAAAGCTGCGCCCCAGCATCCGAGCATATGCAGACGCCCAGGCCCCAGCAGCAACCATGGCGATGCTCCTCCTCCTCATCGCTCGACTTGCCTGCATCAGCGGCATCGTCGCGCATCGTCCTGTGAAGGAAGTTCCAATAATTACCCAAGGATGCCATGACATTCTTCTGATGTTTCTGCATATCATTCACGCACTGAATCAAACCCGTGGCGTCTGCACAAGCCGACCCAACGTCGGCTTCCATCGCCCTCGTGCCGTGGATGGGGCCAGGGACCGCTCTCAGTCCTGAAACATGGCTGTCACGAAAAAGAACATGTAAAAAGAAAATAAAGACAAAAAAAAAGGAAAAAAACAAAGATAAAAAAAAAAAACCAAAGAAAAAAAAAAAAAAACAAAAGGGAAACAGCAAAAAAGTAAAAAAAAAGAAAAAAAAAAAAAAAAGAAAAAAAGCCTCGGGCATCTGACTGGCGAGCTCGCCCCGCCGAGCTTCGGCCGCAACTGCCTCGAAGGCGGCAATGTCCATGGAGTCCTTCTCTTCCTCCTCGCGTCGCTTTGCAGCACGAGCATTGCGCAATCTATTGGTCAGCCGCATCGTCTCGGCGACATCGTAGGAATACGTCTGCGCGTCGCTGATCACCTTGTCGACTGCACTCTCAAGATTGCCCCCCGACATCCTGGCCACCAAGTACCGTTGCTCTTGCAGGCGATCGACCTTGCTACGCTTCATGCCGAACGCTGATTTCCCCCTTCGCCGCCTCTCTGTGGCCGCCTTGCCCTCCGCGATACACTGCTCCAGCACCTCAGAACCGACGGTGTCCTTGAGGGCCCGATACAGGCGACCAACCTCTGCCAGATCATTCGACCTCTGCTTCCTCGCGAAAGCACGCCATGCGCCGCCGCCACCATACTTTGGACCGCCAGGATTGTGTTCGTCGGTGCCCTCGGTGTCGGCCCCAGAATCCACAGAAACTCGTGGCGCCGTACTCCAGGCGCGAATGCAAGCAGCCATCCATTTCGTACCGAGCCCAATTGGATCAGCCTGCTGGCATTGCACATGCTTTTTCACAATCCTGCGAATATGTGAGTTCGAGACCTCGAGGTGATCAGTGTTCGTTGACATGAGGATGGCGTGCACCAAGAGCTTCATTTTGGCCTCGCCTGTGCGGAGGTCATTTCTTTCCAAGAATTTCCTACTCCATCTGTCCAATTGGCATTTCGGCGTCTGCTGGATTGCATCTGCGAGCTCGGGATAGTTAGGCGCGAGAAACAAAGCCCACGGTGGTTGGGAATGCGGGCCCGCGATCAAGTCCTCGATGTAGGCCCCTGCCGACAATAAGCTTGTAAATGCGTCTGCTTTCAAATCGTTTGTCATATCTCCATCTCGCAACAGTATCCAAATGCGATGCTCGAAAAGAAGGGTCAGCATTCTCTTCAATGCTCGAGCTTCGATCTCGCCTTCCGCGTGCACCAACACTGCGTATGTGCGAAGCAGTTTGCCCGTATTGGGTTGCCCTGCCAGCCGCGCAGCTTGCGCCTCCTGGCGCCGCTCCCACTTCTTGGGCCCGATGTAGAGTTCCTCCGCCTGCATTGTCTGCAAGATAGACAATATCATCTTGAGCACCACGACCTGGGAACGTGGCGAATTTCTGGTCCTGCACATCAGCCAATCCAAAGCGACCTTGCGCTTCCTCGCGACCTCGGCCGCTGCTACGGCAATGGGGGCCAGCCCCCTCGGGTCGATGACTGCATCGTCTCGCCGAGCCTCCATCGCCTCCTCGTCGGGGAGGGCTCCAGCGTCGAGCAAGGCGCCGAGCGCGGCTGCCGCTGGAGCATCGCCACCTGGATGGTGCGCAGCAGGTCGATATGGCAGGCCGTTGATGCGATCGCAGAAAACCTTGCACGCCTCAACCAGCACGTTCCCTAACAGAAGGGGCAACGCGAAGTCGCAGCGCGCCTCGTCTGCGCCCATCCATTTCTTCCGCTGGTACACCGTGAAGTTTCTGAACACGAGGGCCTTCGCAATGCCGCTCGAAACTGTACTGAACAACGACTGCTCGTCATACTCAGTGCCAGGTGGAACGTAGATCTCCAATCTATTGCTGCTCCAATCCCCCGACGCGAACAAGTCAAGCAGACCCCGCACAATTACGTCAGTGTTAGCTTTCTTAGATACGAACCACGACAAAATCAATATTTTCCTCATCACTGCATCTGGGCTGGGAGGCGTGTCGATTACCTTGCAACGGTGCATCAGGACTTCGTACATGCATTGTCTGAATATCGCTAAATTGTTCTGGTGGTCCAGCGACAAAGACAAGTTGATCATACCCGTGATGGTGTGGGAGAACTTCCACGTTGCCAATGCCCGCGCACCCTGCAACATGTGCTGTTCACATTTGAAAAAGATAGACTTCCAATTGTCAAAACGTCTCTGTGTCCTCCGATTGATGCCGCGCTCGGCGCGCAGATTGCTCGGGTGTCGATCCACGGCGGCGATGCGGCTAAACTCATCAAACCTGCACTCGGTGAGCGACATGGCGCACGTATCTCTCAGGGCAGCCATGATACAGCCTGGGGTGTTCCGCCATAGGGGCTGGACCTGGGCCATTGTCCGACCAATGACTATGGTGTCAGATTGCAGATCGCCTGGAGGGCCACGCGCGAACAACATGCCGAATCTCTGCTGCGTCTGGAACACCTTGGTGGGAATCGCCTTTTTGTCTTCTGGCAACATCTCCAATACCTTTTTCGGCAGGGGCCTACCATCAGCCTTAACGCCTCTGTCGGTCTTCGGTGCGCCACCCTTGAGTTTTAATGGAGTTTCCCCAACACTGTCCACGAACTGCAGGGCTCTGATTGATGCGTTGGCTACAGCTGCCTGTCCGAACAAGCGGCGGCGGAACCGATCCAGAAGCCAAGTCGCAACGCACAGCGGCTTGCTCGTCTTTCCGAGAAATTGTCTATGCACGCCGAGCTCATGCGACTGGACCCTGGAAGTTGCAAGTGCGAAGCCAAAGTCCTGCTTATCGAAAAGAGTAGCAGCGACACTGCGAACGTTTTCACCACTCTCCACCCCCCCAATCTTCCCGCTGTCTGCAACGTGCAAAGAAGTTCCCGACGTGGTCGATGAGCGGCGGTGCCAAGAGGAACGAGCTGTTCGAGAAGCTCTGGGTGATCACGTGGGGTGGCACCTGAAACTGTTCTCGAAACAACTGTTCCTGCTCAGCAATATCGTTGCGCTGGCGCTTGCTCTCCAACGCGGCCGCCCTCGCAAGGGCGAGGTCGCCGCCGCGCCTGTCGCCCAACCTGGGCACTACATTCATGCGCGAGGGGGCGACGAGGCTTCGAAGCCGCAGCGAGCCAAAACGGCGAGGACCCCAACCAAAGTGCAACTGGCCCCTCACCACCCCCTCGGGCGAACTGCTCTCACGCATATGGCGGTTTTCTCTCTTCCACCGCCCACCATTCCCATTCGGGGGTGGTGTCATCGCCCCCCGAACCCCCCGCCCCCGCGGTCTGGACGGGGCCTGATACGGTAATTGGAACCCCCAAGGTGCCCCAAGGTGGCCCCGCGATCACCCTCATCAAGGAGCAGTGAGATGCCTTCCAAGATTGCTCAACACTCAGGGCAGACGGGGGCGGGCCAATACATCTCCCGAAATAGCACCGAGAGGGGCCAACATGGTAGTGTGCAAGATGGCCCCAAGAGCTTCTTCCAGGCAGTCCATCATGGGCATCGTTTCTGGACGGGCTGGCACGCGAAGCGTCTCGGATGAATCATGCAAGATTGGAGGGGTGGGTATACAATCCAGGAACATGGGGAACAAACAGGCACGCAATCCAATCCGACTCAAGCACGCCGGGAAGACTCTTGACAACGGATTCGACATGCGGGGGCATGGGGTGGATGGGCACCCAACGCAATGCAATCCAACCCAACGAACTCACATCACGAGCGCGATGTAAGGATGCAAGGGCCTTGCAATGGCCAGGGGCGGGCCGAAACAGGCAATGATGCAAGGCTGCCAATGGTCTTGTTTTGGGAGCGGCCGATCGCCTAGAACGGCCCCTCGGGCTCGCTGTCTGAGAACAACTCCCTCGTGCGCTCGCGCGCAAGGATTGCTTGACCGTGGGCCGACTGCTTTGCTTCGGACCTGGCCAAAACTCGCGATACCTTATCTGGATCAAACCACTGATGCTGCTCTGCTGGGAGCTTCGGCCCAGCCTTCAACCACGCAATGAGCTCACCGATGCAACGGCCCTGACCTGGATTAGAAAGGATTCGCTTACCTTTTGGTGATGCCGCTGACCGCGAGCGGCGACATTGGGATCCATGGAAATAGCACACTGCCTCAAAGCGCCCTCCACGATTTGGATAGTAAGTAATCTTGCCCGGCGCATTTGCCCCCCCAACGTCGACATTGAACGAGGTAGTCACCGTCGGCGGCGCGGCTGGCGCTGGCGCTGGTGCGGCGGCCGGTGCCGTCGAGGCTGCCGCCGATGAGGTCGATGCCGTGGTTGGTGCTGCGGCTGATGGCGCCGCCGACGCCGAAGATGTCGGTGCTGCGGCTGACGCCGC